AAAAAACGACTCCAATTGTGCATGAGTGTCGGCTTTTGGGAAATAGAATGCTACTGGAAAATTTCTGAGAATCCAAAACGAGGCAGTGATTGATTCCCTCGAATCACTTATACGTACTGTGATCTGAAATAATCCTGAAATACTAGTGAACCCACAGGGCCATCTAGCCTAAATGTACTCAGGTTTAATCCATCACTTCAAAAAGCCTGATCCACCAAATTCTATAAGAATTTTATTAAATAGAAAACAGTAAAGTTGGCTTGATCTCGTTTTCGCAACTTAGTCGGGGCGACAGAGAAACTTTGCAGAACGCACATAGTCCTGCGTTCATGATTATTTCTAGGATCGGACGGTTGACTTGGTATTAAAATAGATGGCCCATCTGAATACAAGTAATGGAAAATTCGGACTTGGTACTAAGTCAACAGTCCAATGCTGGAAACTACAATGAATACTATGGCAAAGGGCGCAGGACTAGGTACGCTTCACAAGGTCTCCCTATTGCGAAAACTATTCCAAACTAACAATACATAGCTAAAATAGACTACGACCAAATCTAAGACAACACCATCCTGATATTTGTATCTGGAAAGTAGTTGTGGACGATATTTGGAATTTTATCCCCAATTACTGTGCTCATTCGAAGTGTCAAATGTATAAACACAAGCAATCGGTTGGTAAGAGAGGCAGAAAAAGAGGTAGAAAATAAAATTGTGATATTTCACCCAGCCACAAACACCAGCACAGAGTACAAAATTGTGATCAACACAGCAGCATTGATAAGAGAATCCTGACGTTTATGATCAGAAGCGCGGCTGCCGAATACTATGGCAGAGGACGCAGGAATAAATACGTTCAACAAGTTCTCCCAAACAAAGGCCACATCATTTTGATCTTGATATCTACTAGATTATTTAGAATGGAAAGAGTGGAATCAAGCATTAAAAAGATTGATCTGTGAGTTCGAAATTCTATTTAAGGTTATTTTAAGGAATTAAATAGAGATAAGTAAAAAGTGGAATAAGAGTGGAGATTCAAAAAACAAATGGGAAGAAAAGAGGGATCAGTTGCCAAGTTTAAATGGCAAATGTGGTGGTTCAAAGAGACATGGTTGTGATGAATCAGCACACGTTTATGCAAGGTTGTAAACCTGACGAACATTGATATTTATCCGAGTATTTAGCAAATAATCGATTAATGCTCTTTCAACTGATTGCCGTCTAGAGGAAATGTTGTCTTCTCGAAGATCGGACGTATAAGAGTCGTCAGCATCGAGGTCAGGAATAAATAACTCTTTTTCACCTGAGTGCAACCTTTCACGACTTACATGATTCAGCTCCGAACCATCACACCCACCAATAAGCTCCATTTCGTCCCCTGACTGAAAAATTTGTTGCTCCTCCGTCATATCTTGTTTATGAGATATCTTGCCTTCTCTACTTCTGTCATCAATCTCTTCTCTTTTGAACGACAATACATCTCTTACCAGGCCGGGAATCGAGTCAATGTAAGCAAATAACTCCTTTGCTTGAGGAGAAAGATGATCGGCTCCAACAGACAAGATTTGGGAGCAAGATTTTGAGCCACTCTGGGCGAACTTAAGCTTAAAATCCTTTTCGCAGACATTAGATGTATATTTTAGATCACTTAGATGAGCATACTCTGTTTCATTAAACTCAGAGGCATTTGAAGCAGATTCTTCAGTTATATTGTGAGGTTTTATTTTCTTCAAACCAATGGATGATGGAAATAAGATCCGGGGAACAGCGTGAAAGGCTTGCCGACTAGGTCCGGACATCACCATGACGTCGCCATGACGAAGTAGTAAGGGTAAGACAAACCGGCCA